AAGTTGGGGGTAGGGCCAGTACAATCCTTGCTAAAGTTCCCTGTCTTTTCGCACTTGTAGCAACCCGATGATGCCAATCTACAAACCCCCTCATACGACCTGCTGTATTTCCTGCAGCGGCTCTAGCCCGACTGACCCTTCGACCTATTTTCGGATCCCTTGGGTTTCTTCCCGGAAACCCAGTAACCTGTCTATCCCTTGCCTTCCTCTTCATGAGGTGCTCTATATCAATCTCCCTCTCCCTCGCCCTCCCAATCATGTCATCCAAAGTCAGACATACCGAGTAGCTGACATGTTTATGAATGTTAGCTCTCAACATGTCATGATTGTAGGTCTTCTGCATCTCTCTTTCTCTCTCTCTCTCTCTCCCTCTCTCTTTCTCGTTCTCTCTCTCTCTCTCTCTCGGTTTAACATTACCTAAAAAGTTGAATTGCTAACTAATGTGACATGAATAATTTTGCAGATCCACATGATTTTGTTAAACCACTTTCATGGGGAACCCGACATAAGATAATGGTAGGAGTAGCTCGTGGGCTTGGTTATATGCATTCAAAGAAAAATAAAGTCATACATGGTCATGTTGAACCTTTTAATATATATTTGGATCATGTAGTCTTAAGCCACTTAAGATTTTTTGTGATGATGGAACCACTTCCATGCTTTTTGTTTATGCCATTAAAGAGAAGTATTTATTTTGAATACCTTTTTCCAGAATTTTAATGCAAAACCGGGGGATTTTGTGTTGGCAAAATTTGGCCTAGAAATCCAGAAATTGGACAGTATTACTACAGGAGTTATGTGTAGCTTAGGTTATTTCATCTCACAATATCTAAGCACAAGTAAATTACTGCATCCTAGTTATATTTGAATATGTGATCTTGACAATTATTTTTTTTGGTTTATGTTTCAAAACAAACCGTTATTGAGAAGCATAGGAAGGAGCCTTTTTAGATAAAGGGAAAATGACTTACGAGCCTAACTAAGTTTCCAAACCGTTCAAAAAACCAAAATAATATTTTGTTTGGTCAAAAAACCCAACGAACTTAACATTTTGTCGAAAAAAGTCCAATTAAGTTACACTTTTGTTTAGTTCTATTGAAGTCAAAGAAGAAAAACAGGTGACGTCTTGTTAGACCAACAAAGTTTCCAAAACGTTTATAAAAAACTCAAATCATGTTTTGTCTGCTAAAAAATTACCCAATGAACTTAAACAAAACAAAATTGTTGGACTTTTTTAGACAAAATGTTATGTTCGTTATGTTTTTTTGAACAAACAAAACATGATTGATGTTTTTTGAATGGTTTTGAAACTTCGTTCGGCTTGTAAGTCATTTCCCTTTAAATAAAATATGGAAACTTAAGAACAATGGTTGGTTTTGAACAATTAGACCCATGTGTAGTGGTTCTAAAAGTTTCTCTCCCTCCCTCTCTCACTCTTATATATATATATATATATATATATATATATATATATATATATATATATATATATTGTGATTAGCGATAATTAACTTTCAGTGTATCAGCCACTTGACTGTGAAGAGTGACATTTATAGCTTTGGAGTGGTGTTGCTGGAAACCTTAATAGGCCATTGAGCATGGAGTATAGAGTGGCCAATATCCGAGTTTAATTTAGTAGATAGAGACAAGGTAAAGAAAATATTTGATCCACATGTTGGGCATAATTATCCCCTAGAAGTTGCTTTCGATTGTGTTGTGCTTGCATTAAGATGTGTTGTTATGGATCCCAAGGATAGGCCTTCAAGTGAGGAAGTTTTGCAAAGCTTAGAAAAATTGCATGTTGTCAAAAGCTAATGTATAGAAGGTATGTAGTTTTTTTTAGACTTGTGTACTAAATATCTTTTGTTTATTGTTTTTTTTTGTTGCCTTGTTTCACAAGATCTAGTCTATTTCCTGTTATACACTTAGTTTGGAGATTTTCTTGACATCAAAGAAAGGATTTGTCAAAGAAAACCCTGGTTCATTTTTCTACTTCTACTTCTCCTATATTACAACATTAATCGTCTTTTGTTCTCAACATACGATCGGTTAATATATATGTTATTATAAATTTATATTTCAATCACAACCCTGCTTAAGTCTCACGTGCTTCTCTTAAAATGATCAAAATGAACTTTATATATTTGCATAGAATAGAAAAATCATCATAGATGATTTGTATTTAGTTTAAAAGGATTATCATATTCATGCATACACCATCTAAAATATGTGATGAAGCCAACACATTACTAACATATACTCTCACCACCTTCATAGTTTATGTCCGCGAGGCGTCTCTGCCTATGTATTGTTGAGAATTACAAGTGCAAATTTACTCTCCATTACAAATCTATATGGGAGCGGAAGAATTAGATGCATGCAACACCTTTTTTGAAGTAACCTTCTAGTGCTTCATCATATCTAGTTAACACATGATCATAATCCTAGTAGATGTGCTTAATAGTTAAATGACATAATCCTAGCAGATGCGCTAAATAGTGAAGGTCATAATCCTAGCAGATGCGCTTAATAGTAAATGTCATAATCCTAGAAGATGCGCTTAATAGTTAAATGAGATAATCTTAGCAGATGCGCTTAATAGTGAATGCTATAATCCTAGCAGATGCGCTTAATAGTTAAATGACATAATCTTGGCAGATGCACCTAAATGATAATATTTGTAGATGCACCTAATAGATATCATTGGTAGCAGCGCCTTAAGTAACAATGGAATTTGTGTCTATTCCTTAAAGTCAATCTTTAGGAATGAATAAATGAATGATAGGTGATTCTTAGGGTAAATCCTTAAGAAATAAAGGAGACAATGGGGATGTGTAATTGGGTTGATTGTTTGATGATTGAATATAATTATTATATTATTGTGGGTTGAAAACCCTATATGCTCACCAAGCTCCTAAGCCCGACCCACTCAGTTTTCTTTGTATTATAGGTAATGGCACAAGAGTATAAGTCGGATGACTTGATGAGAGATTTTGGATTATAGACCAATACTTATAAATAATTGTTGTAAGGTCTGTATTGTACTGTTTATGCTTTTGGTCTGTATTGGAACATGACATCCCGAGATTTTGTTATTTAATGAAAATACATTTCTTCACGAAAAGTTCTGATAGATTCTTATCATATTTTGTTTTAGAAACAAATTCAACGATTGTTTTCTTTAAAAAGATTACTCTGATTTTAAAACGAAGCATAAACAAATTGGTCTTTTCTCGCCGTGAAATTGAGGATGTCACATTTATGTTGTCCTATCATGCTTCTGTAACTCTGTTTAGATATAGAGTTAGCTATCACAATTTTAGTACCACTTTACTGCAATAAATACTAAAAACTCAAGTCATAGGATCCTTAACCAATTCACGTTGTTAAATATCTCTATAACCTATAAAATAAGACCCACAGTTTAATAATTTTCATAAAATAGGTAGCATTTTTTATGGATAGTGATCTATAAACACTCGCTCAATTTCTGAGAGTTAGGAAAAGGCATGTAGTTCATCTAATTTGCGTATTGATGGCCATTCTGACACATCGTTCCCTTGCCAACACAAACCGTCCCAAACTACCTTCTAGGAAACTTATTTTCAAATGTAGACGTATACGTGAACAGTTGTTGCATGACCTTTCAAACGGTGGTCAATGCCATGAACTTATCCGTATGAGTGAGCAGGCTTTTAAGAAATTATGCACTATCTTACAACAAGTTGGTGGTCTTCTAGCTACTCAATGCATGTCCGTTGAAGACCATGTTGTAAGATTTTTGCACTTTGTCGACAATGATTTCAGATGTCGATTTGTCTCTTGGCTATACCATCTCTATGAATCCACTACAAGTAGGTGCTTCCATAAAGTTCTACGAGCAATTATATCACTAAAAATTCACTCTATTCAACAACCAAAAGGTGATGTTGTATAAAAAGAAATTCAAGAAAAAAAATGATTTTATCCCTATTTCAAGAATTGTATAGGTGCAATTGACGGGACACATGTTGGTGTCAAAGTACCTAACAAAGATGCCTCTAGATATCGTGGTTGCAAGGGATACCCTATGATAAATGTCTTAGCTGCTTGTACATTTGATTTAAAGTTTACATCATGGCTGGGAGGGTACAATATCAGACTCAAGGATACTAAAGAACGCACTGAATAGAGAAAATAAAGTAATATTCCAAAGGGTAAATTTTTAATACCAAAATTACTCTTATGTGTAATCTAATTTCTAATACATAACTAATTACAACTTATTTGTAGCCCGATACTATTTGGTAGATGTTGGTTTGCCTCATACAACTACACTAATGACACCATATTGCGGTATCAATTATCATTTGAAAGAGTATTCTACTCGGGCCCTTGAGAATGCAAAAGAGTTTTTTAATATCCGCCATGCTTCCTTACGTAATGCTATAGAATGGGCATTTGGTGTTCTAAAGAGAAGGTTTAGTGTTATTAGAAGTACGAGAGAACCTTTTATTTCCTGTGAGACACAATCAAACATTTTCTTAGCATGTTGTATTTTACATAAGTATTTGTTAGAAAAACAAGACAAAATTCATGAAGATGAGGTCATATAGGAGATGTTAAATAACCCAAGAGAGGAAATGTGCCATAATATAAGAGAGACAAGTGAGGGTAGTGATGCGGCAGAGTGAATGAGGAACTTAATTGCAAATCAAATGTGGACTTGTTACTTGTCAAATTGAAACCATGAGATATATATGTCAATGCAGCTACTAGTTTTTATTATAGCATTTCAATTTGATTTTGTATCGATCATTAGTGTTTGACTTGATTTTGTATGTATCGTTCGTGTTTCACTTTATTTGTTTTATTTATCTTTTGGACATGTTATTTACTCATTATTTTTACATCCTCTAAGTATGTACTTTTTATGTTATCAATGCATGGTTGTTTATTTATGATGTTATGCAGGTCAAAATGATGAAGGAAGAACAAGTTACTAAGAAAGAACAAATAAAATGGACAGATTGGATGGATTATTGTTTTATTCAAGTGGGAGTTTCATCACACTAGTGTACACCAACATGGTGGAGGAGCTTAATCAAAAGTTTGGGAAGAGTTTAACAAAAAATCATTTAAATATTCGTTTGAAAACTTTAAAATCAGGTTTTTCGCAATGGTATGACATGTTTCGCGGAACTTCATTGAGTCGGTTCTGTTGGATTTCTGAAACACAACTAAATGAAGCGGACCAGGAAGTTTGGGCCAACATAATTAATGTAAGTTTTTTTTATTGAATGGTACTTAGATTGTGTTTACATTTGTGTTAATTTTCTTAACAATAATTGTATTTAGGATTGTGTGTTACACTCAAAGCCTAAGGCAATTTCATTGAAGTCCAAGAAAATACCAAAGTATACAAAAATGATAGCTTTGTTTAGGAGAGATAGGGCTTTAGGGGTGCATGTTGAAACCCCGAAAGAGAAGAATGCTCGATTGAACAGGACTGGGGATATCAAAGTAGAAACAATTTAAGGAGTGTATTAGTTACCAGCAAGCAATTAATGACATAACACTTGAGAAACAACTAAAAATAATGTTGATGGTGATGATATTCAAGTGTTATCTCCTACATGATTTTTACCGGTGCAAAATTCAAGTTCTAAGAAGTACAAAAAGTATAAAAAAAAAAAAAAAAAAAAAAAAAAAAAAAAAGGAAACATGAAATTGAAGATGAAGATGAACCTGAAGCTGAACCCGCATCGTTTGATAAGGTTATTATGAGTGCAGTTAAAGATGTGGCTTCTGCTATGAGGGAGGGTAACAAAATCATTGAAAACTCTCATCATCGGGTTTATATTGGTGATGAAATTTATAAAGAGTTAGAGCCAATGGATTTGGAACCTGATAAATTAATAGAAGCTATCATGTTTTTTTCGCGAAATCAATATGATGCGGGGACATTATTTAGAGTTCCATTTAAAATACGAAAAAGCTTGCTGAAAAAAAATGATGGGGGCAAGACTTTCTTATGATGATAGTTTTTTATTTTTTATCCGTTTGATTTCATACTTTTTGGTTTTTGGTTTTTGGTTTAAGTTCATACATTGGAATTTGTTTGATTATACTTGCATTGACTTTATATTGGTTTCTTATGAATTTTTTTGATTATTTATACATTTTTGTTATTTTTGGTTTGGGTTTATTGACTTTGTTCCACTCTGTCTATATTAGTTTTGTTTGAAAAAGTTATGCAAATGAAGAACATACTAGAATTGTGATTAATAATGAATTATGCATTAATGATTTTTGTATAAATAATCATGTGAAAAAAATAATTAAAGAAGTCGAGATGTAGGAAACAGTTGGCAAAAAAAAAAGTTTACGCATAATTTTGTTTTCAAGAGAATTGTGTGGTATATATTTGAAATTATGGAAAAAAATATGACAAGGGTATAGTTATCCACTTTTACTTTTCATTTCTTTTCCTTCCAACTTGGGAACACGAAGAAAAATAAATTCCATTTTCTTTCTCTCGAACTCGGGAACAGAAAAATACAGTTTACTTTCCTTTCCATTCTTTTCTTTTCTCTCAACATTTCTTTTCTCTTCTTCTCTTTTCTTTCCTTTAAATGAAACTCGGAACAATGTGTTACAAAATTCATTTAAATAAAAGTTGACTGACCTGGTCAAAGAAACTCACCATGCATCCCTTTTTTCTTGATGACCTTTGTCGCTCTTGGCACCCGATTTATAGGTCAAAAACCACCTCGGTCAAAACAATTTTGACTTTGGTAAAATAAGTCAATTGGATGTGACTTGTAGATAATAAATAATTTTATTTTATCTACCATTGTCTTGATTTTCTTAGTACCCTATCAAACAATCAATTCATCATAGATTTAATAATTTTAACATTTTTATGTTATAGTTAACATATATTTTCAGTTTATATCATTTTCTATTTTTTTAAAAATTACTTTCAATCCTTCTTACTTCAGTTTACTATTTATTGATATTTCAACTTTTCATTTATATATATATATATATATATATATATATATATATATATATATATATATATATATATATATATATATAAGTAAATTGCTCAAATGGTCCTTATGATTTGGGATAATCTACAAGTTTGGTCCATAACTTTTTTTAAACGGTTTCTATTACATTTTTTTGTTGTGTGTTTAGTCCGATCTAAAAACACTGTTATGCCCTTATTAACCATTTTAATTAATTTTTTGTTCACACGTTATTCATAAAATTAAAAGATAATAACACTCTAAAAACATTGTTATGGAGTGATCATCTCATTTGAAAGGTCAAGGGTTCAAGTCTCGGTTGAGACATAGGTAGTTATTTAGGAGTATATTGGTTAGTTTGCCGTTTCAAAAAAATAACACTCTTCACTCCTTCCATTTATCTTCATCGGCGTGCAATTGACCACAACCTTCTTAAACTCCTTCCTCCCTCTCTATCTCTAAATTATTTATATGTGGATTTTTTATTTAATGTTTTTTACTCATTTTTTGAATATAAACAAACGAAATATGATATTTTTGTATTAGGCAAAACTAATAACTATATTTATATTTTTGGTCCTTTAAATTACCCTGTATTTACAATAAATAATTTATCTTTATTTTAATGCGGTGTAAAAGTATTTATTTATCATATTTTTTAGACATCGTTTTGTCCATCCAACCAAAAATCAAATTGAGATAAAGGAACACATGAATGTTGATTTACAAGAATCGCATCCAACGCACAGAGTTTTGTCACTTTGACGTTCCAAGATATCATACCGTTTTAATAGATGAGAAACAATGTATAATGCTCGACTTGATACATATATTCCATCGAATGCACCAAGTAATAATTGTAATCTTCATATAGTTGATGTCACTGATAATTAATTATATTAATTTATATATTATTAATATTACATATTTTATTGTTAATATTAACGTATTCTGTGTAAAAATTAATCTACTAGGTGGGACCAATAGAACCCCTATTGGTTAAGCAATAATCGTAGATAAATAGCAGCTCAATCAATATAGAGATTAAAATAAAATATTAATATGAAAATAATCAAAGATAAATAAAACTACAATAATTATTATAGTTTAAAACAAATACATTTTTTAAATATAGATAAATAACAATACAATAATAATTTAATTTTTTTTTATCTTTTTCATTACATCATTTGTTTATGTGTTTTATTTTATTATTTTGTTTTAAGAGGTTTTATTGTTACTTTTTAAATGAATAATACTAATTGTTATGATAAAAAAAAACTTAACAACTATCAAAATAACAATTATATTTTAACAATTATTTGTTAAAAAAATAAATTTAAATAAAATCAACAGATTATTAATAACCATTAAGTATATATTGTTTGAAATAATAAATAATTCTCTTTACATTTATTTTAACAGAAGAAATAGGATTCAAATTAAAATAAGAGGAGATTTTTTTTAGTATTTCAGACAATATATACTTAATGAGTATTAACAAGTGGTAGATTTTATTTAAGATTATCCTTTTAACAAATGATTATTAAAATATTTTTGTTATGTGATATAATAGTTGTTTTTTCTTATATTTAAGATTATTCGTTTAAAAAGTAACAATAAAACATCTTAAAGCCAAATAAAAAAAAAGTAAAGCATACAAATTAATTATGTAAATGAAAAACATATAAAAAAAATTTTAATGTTTATATTTGATGCTTGATACTTATCATGCGTTCTATTTTAATGTGACTAAACAAAACTTAAAAGAAATATATTAAATCGTATATTCAAATATGATGTCAAAAATAAAATATTTTTAAACACTTAAAAACAAAGATGATTAAATAAATGTGAGTAAATATATATATATACATATATATATATATATATATATATATATATATATATATATATATATATATATATATATGGGAAAATTGAATATACCCTTAAGGGTATAAAAGCTTAGGTACACAAACACACCATAATACGTCGTTTTGTTTGATATATTTATTATAATGTTCTTAGACATAAACCTCTAACTTGATTTACTGTCAAGATTTTTGAAATTCACTATTATCTTTCTTTTATATCACATCTTTTTGTCGAATACATATTAGGCTACATATATTATAGTTGAAAATGAAAATTATGTAAGATGAAGATAAATGTGTAATTTATAAAAATTATTGAAATAAATCAAGTTAGAAGTTATATTATAAGAACATTAGACAATTAGAATGTATTATATAATACAGAACGACGTAGTATTGTGAGTATATATATATATATATATATATATATATATATATATATATATATATATAATAAATATTAATAATAATATGAATAATAAATTGTTAAAAGAAAATGAAAAAGAAAAGGGAAGAATAAGTTATTATTTTTATAGAAAGCAAGGATTAAAACTGTAATATTTATAAATCATAAGGATAAAATCTATTAATTTTTAAATTTAAAGACTGAAACTGTGAAACAGACGAAAGATGAAGGACCATTTCTATAATTTATTTTGAAAAGTGTATAATCTGTATACAATCATTAAGTATTTAATAATTTTTTAATTGAGTTGTATATGGATGGTTTTGAATCGGTGATTTTGATATTTGATTTGGGTGCTTTTAAAATCCACTATTCTAAAGGCACCCTATGTGCCTAAAAATCAAAATAGGTCTTTGAAGAGACTTTTTTTGCACAATAACCAAAACTTTCAAACGCCTACTATCCCGTCTAAGTTGATTACTCTGTTTAGATAAAATTGCAAAAATGGTTTCTGTGGTATGCAAAATTTTGGGGTTTTAGTCCAAACAGTAACTTTTTTGGTTTCGTAATCCTTTTGAAGTGGTTTGTATGTGAATATGGTCCCTCCAAAAATTGAAATGACTATAATACCCTTGGGGTATTTATTTTTCATTTTTCTTTCATTATTCTTAAATTTTAATATTTATTTATTTATTTTAACAATTAAAAAAATAATAGAGGACCCACCTCTCTCTCTCATGTTAATTCTTCTACAGTCGTTTCCCCAAGTCCAACAACATGGTATAGAGCCATTTGAGAGGGCATTTCAATCAAACAATGATTCAACGGTGAGGTTCTTCGTTGGGCTTCTAAAGTGGGTGAAGGAAACAGTCGGGTGACAGATTTGATTTCTATTTCACAAGTGATTATCGATTAAGAAGACTGCAGAAACTCAAGTATAGTGTGCAATTTCTATGGCTTCTTCGAAATTCAATTGGGCGATTAAAGACAAGTCCAATTTTGTTTTTTTCTCCTTTAAATTGCCTATGTTTTATAGTTTTTTGGGTGCGTGGAATCCCTCTACGAATTGCTTCTATATAGAGGTGGAGTTTTCATTGTGGCAGACCAAGTGTTTGACTAAAGTCCTCAAAGAAGAGGTTGCCGCCTTCGATGTTTGCTTCGGGGAAACACCCACTTCGATGGTGGGTTTAGGCCAAGGAACGAAGAAGAAATAGAGGA